TCGTCGTAATTCTCTTCGAGTCGTTTGCGAAGAACGTCGCGTGCCAGGTCCGGTGGGATGGACGTGAATAATGAAACCACGTCAAAGGACACCATAATCTGCTCCGGTCGGACAACTTTTCCTCGGATGTCGGCCAGGAATTGGGAGGCCGAATTGATGGAGGTCCTTGAGCCTTCTCGGAGAAAGTTAAGTTTTCGGGCCATCCACTTGGATAGATTGTAAGTGGGGCTGCCTTTCAAGGCAACGATCGGTCGAAGGGGAACATTGGGCTTGTGGATTTTGGGTAATCCATAAAACCGGGCCAGTGCCGTGTCCGTTGGTTTCATCTGTCGCCATTCGTCTAGCGATATAGCACTGTTTCGCTTGAGTCGGTTCAGGAGTCCAGTTAGTTGACCAATCATCGATTTGGCTCGCGAGGGAGGCGTGGACTTGTAGGATTGTTGGTCGTCTAGGAGGGCTTGTGCCTTTTCGTTGTAGTCAGCGCGGTTCATCACGACGGTTGATCTTCCTATGGATTACCCAAAATCCACAAGCCCAATGTTCCCCTTCGACCGATCGTTGCCTTGAAAGGCAGCCCCACTTACAATCTATCCAAGTGGATGGCCCGAAAACTTAAGTTTCTCCGAGAAGGCTCAAGGACCTCCATCAATTCGGCCTCCCAATTCCTGGCCGACATCCGAGGAAAAGTTGTCCGACCGGAGCAGATTATGGTGTCCTTTGACGTGGTTTCATTATTCACGTCCATCCCACCGGACCTGGCACGCGACGTTCTTCGCAAACGACTCGAAGAGAATTACGACGAGATGAACAAACCCCTAAAAATCGACCACTTACTGCAACTGTTTGCTTTCTGCCAACAAACCTTCTTCACCTTCAATGGCAGAACATACGAGCAAATCAAAGGAACGCCGATGGGTTCGCCAATATCCAGCCTGGTTGCAGAACTAGTCCTGCAGGAACTGGAAAAAGTCGCCTTCGACCACTATGAACCTGCATTTTGGCGCCGGTACGTGGACGACACGTTCGTCATAATTGAAAGGAGCAGACTGGCCGACTTCCAAGACCTGCTCAACGGCATCTTCCCGGTCTGGAGAGGCGACCCGTTGTCTCAGATCGCCACTCACACCCTGGAGGAGGGCCACGAATTCAACTTTGCGAGCACGCGGATAGTGGCGCGGGCCAGCAATAAGACAGGACGTGAACTGTTAGAGGCCTGGGTGTCTGGCACCAACTCTATCAACAGGCACGTTGAAATACCCCCCTGCTATCACGCGCTCCGTTCCCGCGGCCAAGGGGCGAGACCCAATTTCCAGCCAAGGGTGCACGCAGTCACGCCACCGTGAGACGGCGTGGGACGCGACTTATCGAGAATACCACCCGCTGCACTCATATCTCCCCCCCCCCCCTTCATGGCGTGACTACAAAAACCGCTCATTTGATGTTGCCTTCTCACAGTCTCTGACGATGGCCTCCTGTACGAGACCGAAAGCTCAGACTATTAAACCCACTGTCCCAGAGATCGGATCTTCATCTTCTTTACACCAAGTGTAGTGTTTGGTTACAATGATAAATTACAAAAATTATCTCAAATCCAAACAACTCGTGCTTTTGATGATAAGAAACTTCTTCATATTCATTCATATTTGCTTCGGGGACTGTGTTATCACTCCCTCTGTCATTTGTCGATGAGCCGAAATGTCACGTTCTGCGTGACCTGTATTTGGGCCATTCTAGGCGATAACTTTATGCGGCGTGGGCCTTAAGGGCGGGCATTCGCGCTGAAGCTACACTTCGAGTGCTGACCATGATATGCTTATCTGATTACTGGAAGCCTCGGAAATTTAAAATGAGCGGACAGTGATTAAAGAGTTCAGAATTCTAGGGTTCAGAAAGCCGAAAAAATCACTTTATTCCACTCTAGAATCCTATTCAAACAAAAGTAGCAGGCAATCTTGCCGCACTCCCAAAGCAGGTGTTAGCCCTAAGCCAAGACGCGCGACCCATGAATACACAACAGATGTGCCATCTCACGAAACGCCTACCGAGATTCTGACAGATGTTCCCTGACTCGAAAAGATTACTCAATCAGAGTTGTGCAGCATTAACTATCGTGCTGCAGAATCCCAAACTATCTCAGTCAGGCCAGGATGCTGGCCCTTCAGTGAGCTTTTTATGGCCGTCTGCAAAAACTAAATTGTAAAAAATGACTATCCAAGTGGTAGAAAGTTTTCCCATTGATTTTCGATGCTTTTTTAAAGTTAGATATATTTGAATATAAATGTAAAAAAACTAAATATATTATATAGAAAACCTGCACTAAATATTTTCTCTTATATCCATTTGGTAATAAATTACATCTTTTTAAATTTTTTACATAAGGAGAGAGAAGTTCGGTTTTAAAGAGATTTCTAATTATAAGGTTCCCAAGACCGTTAAATTTTCATTTATACAGCATGCCATCCGTGCGTTTATGAATGCTACTCATAAAGTATGCAACCTGGTCCACATCCGTTGCAAAATTTTGTGAGTGCTATATGACATCTTCCTAACAGCTTAGAGAAATATGTGACATTCCTTTGACGGGGTGAATGCATCATGTAGACTGGAAACCTTGGATGTAAGTGTAGCGGCAGATGGAGCGAAAAATCATTTGGGAATTGGAAAAAATATCTAAAAACCGAGAGATAATCTCTTTTCAATAATAAATGTTGAAGAAGGCATAATTTATTACCAAATGAGTGTAAGGGAAATTGTTTTGGTGCTTGTTATCTGGATAATATGCATTTAAATTTATAGGGGCATCGAAAAGCAATGGGAAAAATTAATAGCACTTAAGTTGTCATTTATTTGCAGAGTGTGGTTTCTGCAGACGGCCGGAAAGAAACTCATTCAAAGGCCGACCCCTGGCTTGACTGACACATTTTAGCATCATGCTGCATGATAATTAGTATTGCAAAGCTACTTGAACCATCTTTTCGAATCGAAGAACATCTTTCAGGATTTTGGCCAACATTTCATGAAATAACACATCTGCCGTACTTACTGCTGCATGACGCAACTGCAAGAAGGTCGTATCGTTTTAAATCTCAGTCCTTTTTGTACCATTTATAATTTAGGAAACGGAGGGCAGATAACACGACACCAAAGTCTGGTTGCTATGGCGACGGGCTGTTCCTTCAAAAACTTACTGATGCTTTATCATGCAACGACATGTGCGTTTATTGAGCTAGCCGCCAACCTGCCGTTGCTCCTAGAAAGTATATGTGTTGAATGACTATTTGACCTTCCATGGATAATATTGAAAATATCGAAGTGTGTTAGTGACAAGCTGTTCCAATTAACCCAGCATGTGTTATTTTTTTCGACCCCGCGGAGCTCCATAAATTAACGCCGAGTTAGCAAGGCGTTGGTTCATTTTTGCAGGCATACACGCATGTCTCAGTGGTTGTAATGAATTTTTTCAATGAGTCCAGGCAAACTGCAGTCTAATGGGATTCTCGTTCTTTTTTTTCAATTCCTGTTTCACGTTAGCCAAGTGAGAAATTAAGACTTCTTGGTAAATTCGCTCGCACCAGCGCTTTTTGGCTCGTGCTTCGCCTGCCCCTCCCGCTTCTCTTTCACCAGTCTTTTGGGTATTCTTTCAGGAACTATTTATGTTTGGTTGCCGTCTTAAGTCATTTAGCAGTCGCTCAGGAGATTTGGCTAGAATTGGTGGTCACTTTATGCCACTAGAGACAGAGCGCCTTTTCTGAAGGTTTGGCTGAAATGTCCAAGTGTTTCGCTACCATTCATCCTACGTTGGTCACAAAATTTGGTCAGATGTGATTATGTAGCTGCACCTGTGGTAAACGAACCCCAGCTACCTGTAATACGTACCGGTGATTATAGGGGTTGTCACAGGCGAAGCCGGGGGACACACAGGCGACGAAGTAAGTAACTGAATGCAAAAGGAAAGCTATTAGGAATGCGCGGTTGTACTTTTAATGGTTGAGAAATAGTTGCCCAAACACGTAACCCTAACCCCTGACCCTAACCCTGACCCCCAAGCCCTAACCCTTACCATTACCCGCAGTCCTAAACCCTAACCTTGAAACATCCAGCGCGAAAGTTAGAAGGAGACGACAG